TTTTTTTTTTTTTTTTTTTTTTTTTTGGGTTTCAAAAGTGGGAATCTGTTGGTGATTTTAAACCACTTTCTTGAAGCTGCTTCAAAGGTAAGCGCTTTTATTCGCCTCAGTGATTATTAATTGGCTCTGAAAGTACTAATTGTGGGTTGCTTTTGTGATGATGTCTTTCTTCACTTTTTGTTTCTAATTTATGCAACCTTTACTGGCAATAGTGCTTGGTTTGCTGGAAAAATTATGGCTCTTCGTTTTCAAGCACCTGTTATTTATTGCGGTTGATGGGTTTAGTGTGTGATTCATTTTAGTGTCACTGCTGCTGTTGACAGAGCATTAGAGTGGCTTGATATTTTTCTTGTGGGACTTGGGAGAAACTTTTTGCTATGTAGCTTGTGCTTGATTGTTTATTGATGAGCTTGAGGAATATTGTTTTCTTAATTATCGGGTTGACGTGTGGTATGTCGGTTTTCGACTACTATTCGCCATGTGAACTTTGATTATCTTGAGCCTCTATATCATCGTCTTTCACTTTGTTGATCCATGTTATGCAAGTTAGTGCAGGTACTCACCTGTCTAGGTGAATAGATTCAGTTAATTGACCTTCTGTTCTTCTCCAAGATGGGATTTTTCACATATGGTGTGATGATTATAATCAATTTTCAGGTCCTGATATTTTTTTTTTCTTGATTTTTAGCTTCCTTCATCTCATTCTCTCTTTACTATACCTGCTTGTACAGCTAATAACTATTCTCCACAATAATGGCTTCGAGATCTTATTCAAACTTATTAGATCTCACATCCAGTAGCTCTCCTCCCTCGACACGAACGGGCAAGAAACTTCCGCGGGTCGCCACTGTGGCGGGTATCATGTCTGAACTTGAAGACGAAAGTCTAAGCAATAATGGCTCGGATGCCCCATCATCGCGTATAATCATCGTAGCCAATCAACTCCCGCTACGTGGGTCCCGCAGTGTCACAGACGACCTCAAAAAAGGCTGGGATTTCACCTGGGACGAGGATTCTCTCCTACTGCAGCTTAAAGATGGTCTTCCTGAAGATGATGTGGAGGTAATTTACATCGGCTGCCTTAAAGAAGAAATCGTGCCCGCCGAACAAGATGACGTGTCCCAATACCTGCTCGACAACTTCAGGTGCGTCCCGACCTTCATCCCACCCGATCTCCTCACGAGATACTACCATGGCTTCTGCAAGCAGTACCTTTGGCCCCTCTTCCATTACATGCTCCCTTTGTCCCCGGAACTCGGTGGCCGATTTGACCGTCCCATGTGGCGGGCCTACCTATCGGTGAACAAGATATTTGCCGACAAGGTCATGGAGGTAATTTCGCCAGACGAAGACTACGTTTGGGTCCACGACTACCACCTCATGGTCCTCCCGACTTTTCTAAGGAAAAGGTTCAACCGGGTCAGGCTCGGGTTCTTCCTTCACAGTCCCTTCCCTTCATCTGAGATATACCGGGCTTTACCCGTTCGGGCCGAGCTCCTTCAAGCTCTCTTGAACTCAGACCTGATCGGCTTCCACACGTTCGATTACGCCAGGCATTTCCTCTCCTGCTGTAGCCGCATGCTCGGCGTCTCGTACCAGTCGAAACGCGGCTATATTGGCCTCGAGTATTACGGGCGTACAGTCAGCATCAAGATCCTACCCGTCGGGATACACATGGGTCAGCTCCGGTCGGTGCTCGATCTTCCCGAGACCGAGGCTAAGGTTTTTCAACTACGCGAATCTTTCTCTCGCCGCACGGTCTTGCTCGGAGTGGACGACATGGATATTTTCAAGGGGATAACGCTGAAGCTCCTCGCTTTCGAGCAGCTGCTGACTCAGCATCCGGAGAACAGGGGTAAAGTCGTCCTCGTCCAGATCGCGAATCCGGCCAGAGGGCGCGGGAAGGACGTACGGGAAATCCAGTCCGAAACTTACGCGACCGTCTCGAGAATCAACAACGTTTTTTGCGAACCGGGCTATGAGCCTGTGATCCTGATCGAGGGCCCGCTTAACTTTTACGAGCGAATAGCTTACTACGTGGTGGCCGAGTGTTGTCTGGTGACAGCTGTCAGGGACGGCATGAACCTTATCCCGTACGAGTACGTCGTGTGCAGGCAGGGGACTGAGAAACTAGACGAGGCTTTAGGCGTGGGCCCGGCCCTTAACAAGAAGAGCATGCTTGTAGTTTCTGAGTTTATCGGGTGCTCGCCTTCCCTCAGTGGGGCCATCAGAGTCAACCCTTGGAACACTGAAGCAGTTGCTGAGGCCATGGATTCTGCCATGATGGCCCCTGAAGCCGAAAAACAGATGAGGCACGATAAGCACTATAGGTACGTGAGCAGCCATGATGTCGCTTACTGGGCCCGCAGCTTCATGGCGGATCTTGAGAGGGCTTGCGGGGAGCATGCAAGGAGAAGGTGCTGGGGAATTGGGTTTGGGCTGGGCTTTCGTGTGGTCTCATTGGGCCCGAGCTTCCGGAAGCTGTCAGTCGAGCACATTGGATCCGCTTATCGGAGGACCCGGAACCGGGCGATCCTGTTGGATTATGACGGGACGCTGACTTCGCAGGGTGCGGCTGATACGCGTCCTAATGAGGAGGCTGTCGGGGTATTGGATAGACTGTGCCGAGACCCGAGGAATGTGGTTTTTGTTGTGAGTGGGATGAATAAGGAGATCTTGGCGCAATGGTTTGCTTCGTGCGAGAGAATGGCGATTGGGGCGGAGCATGGGTATTTTGTGAGGTACGAGGTGTTTTTTTATTTTCGATTTTGTTCTATTACTTGAATTAGTCTTATCAGGTCTGTTATTAAAACATATTATGTTTTCTCTTCTCTCTCTCTCTCTTCCTCAGGCCACAACATAGTTCAGTATGGGAAACTTGCATTTCTGTACAAGATTTCGAGTGGAAACAGATTGTCGAACCTGTAATGCAGTTGTACACAGAAACAACCGATGGGTCTTTCATCGAAACCAGGGAGAGTTCACTCGTGTGGAATTACCAACTTGCAGACCCCGATTTCGGTTCATGTCAGGCTAAAGAGCTTCTCGATCACCTCGAAAGCGTCCTAGCAAATGAACCTGTCTCAGTCAAGAGTGGGCCCCACACTGTAGAAGTAAAGCCTCAGGTTTGTAACTAGATTCCTTTTGACAAATCCATGCTTAATTTACGAGCTTTTGACATTTTTTCTTCGGGTCCCACTTTATTAGGGGGTCCACAAAGGGCTCGTGGCCCAAAGGCTTCTAGCCATGATGCGAGAAAAAGAAGTGCTTCCGGATTTTGTGCTCTGCATAGGGGATGACAGGTCGGACGAGGATATGTTTGAGGTGATAACGAGTGCAAAGGAAAACGGTTCGCTTTCCCCAGTTGCTGAGGTTTTTGCTTGCACGGTCGGGCAGAAACCGAGCAAGGCCAAGTACTACTTGGAGGATACTTGTGAGATACTAAGGATGTTTCAGGGCCTAGCCGATGCCTCTGACCAGTCGGCTAAAAACAATGTCTCGTTTTCTCCACATGACCTGATTGTCGTCGATAAAGTGTGAAGGCGCGTGTATACGTATACGTATACGTATGTGTGTGTGCTTGTGTGTGTTAGTTTGCTAATTATAGTGTGTTGTTTGGTGACTTGGCCTATGCCATTGTTGGCAGTTTGCTGGTTGTTAGGTTGTCTGCTAGAGATGATGTGCTTGTGAGTATGTATGTATTTTCTTTTTTGAACTATGGACACATTGCTACTTTTAACCATAATTATAGTATATACTTATGATGTGGTGCAATTTTATTGGTTGTGTGTAATTTTATTGACTGAAAAATGAATGGATTGTGTAATTTTAACCATAATTGTGTGGAATTGTGTAATTTAACAATTACACAATTGTGTGGAAAGCAATAACTTGATGAACTTTTAACAAGGTGGTGTTGGCAAATGACCAAAGAAATTAGTGCAACAAATCATATTAAAAAATAAAAACTAATAATTATATTTGTACAAGTCATTAGCAACAATAAAATATGAAATGAAACATGAATTTTGAAGAGAAAATCTTTATTTTGTATATTATTTTAGAACTCGTTAACCTTAAGTGGCAGTTTCGTACGCTTCGTAATCTTATATGGCAAAATATTATACTTTGTAATATGACTTGGATAAAAATAACTAATATTTTATACCAAATAACTTAGGTTCGGATTACTATATATAAATATACATATTTAAATCTATTTATTATCTTCTTTTTATAATGTGCATATAATCTTACTTTCCGAATTTTGTTCTTTGATTATATTATTTCTATGTATTTTAAATACATAAAACATTATAAATAAAATTAATTTATGTATATATTAGTTTTCAATATTTAAAATAGTATTGTTAATCCACTTACTTATTTATTATAAATTGTTATATGTTATTTTTTATGTATTTTTTTTAACTTCAACAAAATATTTTTTTTTTATTTTTTATTGTACGTTTAGTTATTTTATCAACTACCCGTGTAATAAATTAACAGATATCTTATCCAATGGTAAAAACGTCATTTTTTCACCCTTCTCCCATCCTCCACCCCATTTCGCTGGCCTGCCCTATTTTGGGAATTTTTGTATCAATGAAGTTCAGCTAGGGTTTTGCTGATTTCAAATTTGCTCCCAATTTTCTCTTCTCTAAGCTCCACCCCCAAAAAATTTCCACCTTCTTGACCTCATTCCCTTAACTGTTATGGCGAAGAAACCCAAAAATGCTCTTAAAGATGGGGATCAAGATAACGGTTCCAGAACAAACGAGAATTCGAGTTCCTCAACGGTTTTCAAGGCCCTGTTTGGCGATATCCCTGAACAGATTGTAGCCTCTGATTCTATCTTCTCCGAGAGCAATCCGTTCCGCAGAGAATTGCTGGAAAAGAAGCAGAAGCGAGAATCAGGATCAGGGGTTTCAGGAGAAGATGGCGAGAACGAGGGTGATTTGGGGAAGCCCGACATATCTGAGATGCCGCAGAAGATTAAGCGAAAGAAAGATAAAGTTAAGAAGGAAAGTTCGGATCTTGAGACAGAATTAGTTGAGGAGAAGAGTAAGAAATCGAAGAGGGACGGATTGAAGGTTGATGCAAAGAGCAGCAGCAACAATTTGAGTTGCGAGTTGAAAGAGTCTTTGGAAAATGATGCCGGACGTGATCTGGGAGATGGTGAAAGTGGAAATTTTGGTGTTAAGAGTGATAAGAAGAAAAAGAAGAGGAAGAGAGATGAGGTGGAGACAGAGTACGAGGCTAGGAGGTATGGGGTAGCTGATACGATGGATGGAGCGAAGGGGGAAGGTGGTGTGTTGGGGGAGAAGAGGAAGAAAATGGATAATCCGGAGGATATGATGGTGTCGAAAGAAGGTTTTGATGATGAGAGCAAGCTGTTAAGGACTGTTTTTGTTGGGAACTTACCTCTGAAGTTGAAGAAGAAAGAAATAGCAAAGGAGTTTGCCAAGTTTGGTGAAGTTGAATCTGTTAGGATTCGGTCCGTCCCCATTGCAGATGTGAGTTCCATTTGGATTTTTTTTTTTTTTCCTTTTCTTTCTTTGTAGTTGGCGTATGATTGGTGTAGTAGGGTATATTAGGTAAACAGGGTTCATACTTGAAAAAGGAAATGTTGAATGTTGATATTTCTGTTTTACAGGGCAAAATACCGAGGAAAGGTGCTGTTATCAAGAAGAGAATCAATGAAAATGGAGACAGGTTTGTTTCTGAATAAATTTTCTCTACTTTTGTCTGTGGCCTGAAAGAGCATGCAGCGTTGAACTTCCATTTTCTATGTATGGCTTGTATGGTTAATGGTTATAGTCATATAGTGTACATACTCTGGCTTCTCAACAGACCGAAAAGGGTAATCAGTGTACTGGGGATTGAAAATATTGAAATGAGAGAAGTGTTGATGTCCATATGATTAAAAACAGTTCCTGTTTAGCTAGTACCATTCTATGATTATTGGCTTAGCCCTTTCATGCATGGTGTCTCCACATGTTTTTACCATTTGAAATTCTATCTAAGTCTCCACATGTTGTTACCATTTGAAATTCTATCTATACTTACACTTTGTGCACTTTTTAAACTAGAAAATGAGTCCAGTCATGCTGCTTAATTATGAGGTCCATGATTTCATCTAATGTTTATGGTTGTCCTTAAGCTGCTTGCTTATCTATACTTTTGTTCATCTTCTATTTTTTGAACAAAATTAGAACACATCATAGTTTTTAGATATCTCTTCTTCTCTATATTGTTACATGGCCAGTTATGTTAGGGCTAAAAGTGTTTTTGTTGCATGATCTGAAGTGGTTCTGTATTTTTTGCAGTGTTCATGCTTATATTGTTTTTAAAACTGAGGAGTCTGCTCAAGCATCACTAGCCCATAATATGGCAGTGGTAAGTTTCATTTTGACCATATTTTCTTACTTCCATTTTCCATGAACTTTATTGTCCAATAATTTGGCAAAACTTGAGCAATTTTCCATCTGCGCATATTCAGGTTGGCGGAAATCATATCCGTGTTGACAGAGCTTGTCCACCTCGCAAGAAGTTGAAGGGAGACGAGACTCCCTTGTACGACAATAAGAGGACAGTTTTTGTGGGAAACCTTCCCTTTGATGTGAAGGTACGAATTATCCTCTGGAAAAGTAGCTGCTGCTTTCGTGTGTTCTTTTGTTTCCACTTTGAACATGTGCATTTTTCTCACTTTCTTCTAGGATGAAGAGATTTATAAGCTTTTTAGTGGTATTAAAAATCTCGAGACTAGCATTGAAGCTGTTCGGGTTATTAGAGATCCTGGATCCAGCTTGGGAAAAGGCATTGCATATGTGTTGTTCAAAACCACGGTACGGAATAATATATTTGCACGTGTAATATGTTTTACTTTTAAGTGTTTATTTTTCCAACTCAAAGTTTAGTTTCCTTTTTGTGATTTATTGTCATTATTATAGTTGTTGTTATAGTTGTTTTTGCTGCAGTTGTTCTGTGTGTAAAATTGATTTGAATATCATGTGGTTTTGCTCATGATTTGAAACTCTGTAATAAATTTTTTATGGGTCATTTTGACTAGCTGGATGGACCATTACCATTAGTTTTCGGTATTATGAGATGGGTATTCTGCTTTGTACTAAAACTCGACCTAGGTGCTTTTGCCTAGCCGGTTGTTCTAGGCACTCGGACAATTAGGCGGCGCCTATATATATACATATGTATAATTTTATTTATATTTTTTTTAAATAAAACATAATTTTTAATTTTTATGCATGAAATTTACATTAATTATATAATATATTAACAGTTTTGTTGAAAATCAATAAAATAATTATGAATGCATTATATTTTGTATAATCTTTGTAATTTGGCCATATTAGCATTGGTATTATGAATTAAATGATATGAACAATGCCATTGTTACGGTTGTGCGAAAATTGTCCGAAAAAGGCAATAAACTTAAGTGGCTTGTGAGATGACTATTGTTCTGGTTTGATATTTTGCAAAATGATCAATAAGAATTATCTACTTGCTGCTGTTAGTCTGTTACTGATATTTCGTAGAGGGGTTGAAAGTTGAAAGTAAAATGTAGCATGTGAAACCAGTAAGAGACGTAATTTAGTTATATCTGTTTTTAAAATTTTTAAATAATTCGTCTTACAACTTTTGAACTGTTGTGTTCAACGGTAATTTATTATCCTAGTGTTCTCTTCCCGAGTATGTATATTTCAGGATGCTGCAAACTTGATAGTCAAGAAACGCAACTTGAAGCTACGAGACCGTGAACTTCGTCTGAGTCATGCCAAGTCAACAACAACCAACACTTCTTTGAAGAGAAAATCCCCTTCACAGCCAGGGACTAAAAACACTCGTCCGGCAAAGAAGTTTGCATCTCTTCCCACAACTCCGGATAGCGGCAAGGCAAGCTTATCCTATCAAGGCCTGCGTGCAAGCAAATCGGGTTCTCAAAAGAAGAAAGTCCTCCCAAAGGTTATTAATTCGCATGGAAAATCGAAAACTCGAACTGACTCAGACCAGAGTTCTGTGAGGAAGAAGAAAAGACCAGCTGTGGCTGCTCGTAAGCAGAAAGCCTTAAAGGCTGCTGCTAATGCTTCTTCCCAAGTAGTGGGAACAAAGAGGAAGATTGGTAAACAGACGCCTGGCAGTGGTGCTGGTGGACAAAAGAAGAAAGCGAGGAAGTTTAGGTAAGCTTTCTTGGTTTGGACCGTGGACAAGAGAAATGTGGGGGCTTTTTCGTCTTTTTATTAAAAACGTTTTACGATTATATTTTTCGCTTAATACATACGCTGTAGATGTATTGTACCTCATTTTACGAATTTAGTTTTTTTTTTGTTTTTACGTCTTATGGATTATGATTATATATAACATTGAGTTCGTTAGACATAAAACGTCGTTAGATGTTTTAATAGTATTTTCTTTATATATATAAATATATATTGATTTAAGAAAATAAAAATCAGGGAGGCTCCTGGACCTCATACAGCTCCGTCACTGATCGCAACATTGATTTTTCTTACATATTAAACAATTGACAATTTACTAAATAGTTCCACATAATCATGCGATCTAATAAGCTAGTCAAAACGGCTAATTTTTTTTTATTTTTTTTCTGTATATATTAAATAATTTGTTATTTACTGAAAAACTTCGCATAATCATTTGATCTAAACAGCTTACGAGTTACAAATAACAAAAATAAAAATAAAAAATAAAAATAGATGTCACTGATATTTTTAGTTAATTAAAAAATTGGAGGTTTTAAAACAAATGATTTCAAATGTGAATATATATATATATATATATATATGATCACGTGCAACTCGTGGTCGACGTGTCTATTTCAATCTATATCTATATAAAAAGATTTACTATTTTATAAATTTAGAAAGTTTTTTTCCGCCAAATCATTAATTATATCCTATATATAGTAAGTTTTGTGCAATTGTGAATAAGCAAAAAAAAAAGGCTCTTTAATTGTTGTTTCCTTAATTATAGCTTTAAAATTGGTTGCAACTTGGTTTCCTTAATTATAGCTCTTTAATTGTTGTTGCAAAATTTATGCCAAAGAGTTTAAAATCGTTTGCAACTTGGTTTAAACTTTCACACAAAAAAATGCAAAATCACACAAAATCATATTGTTCAAAATGCAACAATATCGTCCAACCGGATACATTCTAATGCAACATTTCTATCTTACAAAAAATCTGAAAAATAATACCGTCAACTATGATTTTAAGTAAGTTGAATCTTCCAAACAATGTGAAATCAAGATAGATTTAAAAAAAAAAAAAAGGCTATAACAATTTAATCTTCCAACCGGTTATACATATTTTTTTCAATTTTTTAATTTAAAATATATAATTTTTTATTAAAAGATGATTAAAAAAATATATTTTTTAAATAAGTTAAATACATATTATTTATACCATATCTACAACAAATCACGTGTGAATTGAGGAAAGATCTTTAGTCAAACTAAATAAGAGTTTTCCTTTGTTCAAAGTCTTTAAAACTCATCCAATTCAAACAATATATTTTATTCCTGCTGTAATCTATATATTCCATTCTTCTATCCCATAATGTCCTACTCAAGCTGTAAGCTTTTTTTGTCGTCATACATTCTCTTCATCATATTTATAATATCTTCATCATATTTATAAGTTTCTATTATTAATTGAAAAGCCTAAAATACTGGCTTTTGTTCCATACACCATTAAAGATCGTACAAAAAAATCTCATTAACGTATACCCGCCTAAAAAATCTCAAGGTAATTTTACAGAATCTCATCGCATAAATATCGGCTTTTGGTTCCATATATACACATTAAAGGCTGTATAAAAAAACCCATTAATGTATACCAACCTAAAAAATCTCATGGTAAATTCTCTTAGGTATCTACTCTAACATATTTTTTTTTAACAAAATTATGTAACATAATTTTTTTTTTCTTAAAAAAGTTAATTCGCTCTAAAGTATAATTGCTGATATGAATCTGACCTACGGTCAGAATTTTTTTAAAATTTAATTTTCACCTATCTAAATATTAATATTTTTTCAAATATTACTAACATCTATAATATTGGAGATATTTCAAACATTATTTGGACAAAAATTAAGGAGCTATATATATATATACATATATGGAGGTTAAATTTAAGTATTTTTAGACATGATTCCTTAAAAAATAGTTTAGATAGCGACTTCAAACAATTTTCAAGGATAATATAGAATATTTTATACACTTTTTATACTATGTAATATAATATTATATATGTCTTTAATATATATATATATATATATATATATATAACGAGAATAAGATTTATCACATATTTCTCCTCCAAAAATATTAAATGCACATAATAAAAAGTTAATAGAAAAAATGCAGATTTAAATATTGTCTTCAATTTTGTATTAATATCACTTATATATAAAATTTCATTTTATTTGTTACATTTTTAAATTTAATTTTGATATGTATTTGTAAAATTAATAAATCTGCATAAAGCGTGGAATTGTTATGCGTACAATTTTTTTTTTTAACGGTAACAACTTATAAAAAAATAATAAGAAATACCGTCATAATTCTCGGTATAATTTCATTATTTATTTTATATATAAGTGGTAAATTTTCTCTCAAAAAATTATAATGTTTTTATTTAGGCTTATGATATTGTAGATACTTTTATATAATATTTTATCATGTCATATTATATCTATATATACATATACACGTATATATATATACATATTAAATTTAAATATTTTTAAACATGTTTTCTTTACAACAGAGTTTAGAAAACATCTTTCATAAAATATAAAATTTAAATGTTTTTAAACATGTTTTCTTTCCAAAATAGTTTAAAAAAATTGTAGATGACTTCACATCTTTTAATAATAATACATAAACTTTTACATACTTTTACATGTTTTTAGTATTTTAAACATGCAAATTTTATGTTCTCTTATACAAGTTAATTTTATATTAATTTATATATTTTTTTTTTACTCTTTTAAAATAGAATAATGGTTCGCCACCACTCGAACTCGAGATCTATTTATAATTATTATTTAATATAATTACCGTGCATCACACGGGGCTACACACTAGTTATCATTAAACCAATAGCCGAGGGATTATTGCATTATATAATATATATGTTCCCCATTATTAATTCGGTGGCCCGTATATTTTGAATAGATAATTAATTATACATATATTTATACTTAAATATCATAATATTAAATTTAATACAAATAGAAGTAAGACACTCCACAATATAAGAATTCATATTTATTTAAAATATACTATCAAATATAAAATAAAATAAAAATATGATGTTGTACATTCTTGTTTTGAAAAATAGAATGGTAGTTCTACGGCAAAATTTCAAAATTGGTCCTATAACTTGACCACTGTCCAAAAAACCACCCATATATTGACAACTTTCAATTTATGTCCTATAATTTGTCTATTTCATCAATTTTGGTCCTTTTTATCCGGACCCTGAATTAAAAGGTGACGTGGCATGACGTGGCAGTTTTTTAAGGTTACATGGCGTGATTATGATCTACATGGCACGTCAATTTTAGTCCTATAATTTGTCGATTCTATCAATTTTGGTCCTTTTTTCATGTCACGTCATTTTTTAATCTAGGGTACGGATAAAAAATGACCAAAATTGATGAAATCGACAAATTATAGGATCTAAATTGAAAGTGGTGAATATAGGGGTCCTATTTTTATTTTATTTTTATTTTTTAGTGAATATATTATAATTTATAAAATACTACAATTTTTATAAATTTAATTAGTAGCGTTCGATTTTTTTTCCTTTGTTAGATATAACAAACCTATCCGAGCCAGATTACCACTCATTCGAAGTGTATTCATTTCAAAATTTTATATAAACTAGTTCAATATTCGTGTATTACACGGTGCTTGTAAATTAATATTTAAAATAAAAAACTATATTTTATTTAAAAAACTATTTTTTTTTAATTTTCAATTTAAAAAAATTATATTTTATTTATGTTTAAAATCACACCTGCCACTTATATGCTTAACATCTTATATTATAATAATGTTTTTACTTATACCATATAACTAATTTGTAGTTAAATTAATTTAATTTTTTTTTTCAATTAATATTGACATGTAATTTAATTTTTATTACAATGGAGAATAAAATAATTTATTTATTTGTATGTACAATACTGATGTCAAATTGAATATCTCAAGAAGTAATTAATTGATATATTTTATATAAAAAATGATAATAAATAAAATTTATATTAGCTTTTACATATATCTATAATTTACGTTAGAATTTTTTTATAATTATGCTCCCTATATATAATTCCCGAATTCGCTGAGCCTACGTGGCTGCTTCTGGTGCTTCGTAATCTTATTTGGCGAAAAATCATGCTTCGTAATTAGGTTTGGACAAATTATTATTGATATATTAATAATTAATAATCTAAGTTCGGACATTCCATAAATATTATTTATCTGACGTAGGTATTTTAATATCATTTGTACGTAGTGAGACACTAAGTGACTAATATATCCCTGACTTTGATTTGTTTCTTTCAATTAGCTATTGAATTGTAAATGTATTTTAAAAGTTGATAACTTGTGTATTTCTTATCAATTTTACATATATTATATATCAAATTAATTATCTTTTAATGATCTTCGATTTGACATCCATATTGTATATATGAAATAAATAAATTATATTTATCTTTATAATAATAAAAAATAATAATATTTATTAAAACTCACTAGAAAAATATAATTATTTATCAACTGATATATTTATTTTTAATGTAGTTATATGTTGTAAGTTAAAAAATTATTATAATATAACACAGGTAAGTCGCACAAATAAAAAGTGTCATACTAAATATATAATAATATATATATTTTTGTAAAAGGTATTGAAAATTTCAACTACTTTTTTTATTAATTTTAGATTTTAAGAAAAAAGTTAGCAAGCACCCGTGTAATACACAGGTGTTGTACTAGTAAAAGAAAGATAGAAGAAAAAAAAAAGATTGGAGAAAAAAATATGTCTTATAAACCTAATAGGAAATAATCTTAAACATAATTAATGTTTTCAAAATTATCATAAATATCTAGTGTATATATATATATATATATATATATATATGTATGTATATGGATACACCAAGCCTAGTTATATTTGGATTGAAAATAAATTAAAATCTATACTTATATTAAAAGAGATCCTATTTACTAAATATAGTAGGTAGAAAAGTCAAACTTAATTAATAAACTTTTAATTTTATCAAGTAGTAATTAATGCATTTTCAATTTATACTGACATAAAAAACGCTTCTTGTAAATCTTAACATAAAAAATTTTGTACGTAAATCCCATAAAAAAATCCTTCTTATAAATTTATGCTGAACTTCTAATTTTTAATATTTCTTATATTGACATAAAGAATCTCATAAAATCTGTTGAGCAAAAACAATCAAAATCTATACTTATATAATAAGGTAACCTATTTACCAAATTTAGCAAGTTAAAAAGTCAACGTAATTAATGTCTTGTTATTTCTATCCAGGATTTTATTTAATTATTTTATTTATTTATCTTATATCCCATAAAATCAGTTTAAGAAAAAAATCTCATGACATCTAATAAGTAAAAAAAAAGACGTAAAATCTTTACTAAAATAAAAAAAAGCTTTATTTATTTGTCTTATTCCATATTAACATCGATTTTGTCAAAACAAATCCAATAAAATCGATGAAGTCAAAATTTGTACGTAAAGTCTATCTATACTAAAAAAAGGCAGATTCAAAATTCCTTATTTAATTCCTTCTTGTCCTTATATAATTCCTTCTTATTATCTATTTGTATGGAAATTTATTCTGATTTTATTCAATTCTCTAATTGTATTTCCATAAAATCGGTTTAACAAAAAAAAAAAAAAAAACCCCATACATCCGATAAGTAAAAAAAATACGTAAAATCTTTACTAAAATAAAAAAAAAAACTTTATTTATTATTTAACTGTATAGAAATCAGTTCTGATTTTGTGCAAACCGATCTCTATATATTCAAATTCAGATTTTCTAATAAAAATATTAACAACAATATATATATACTTTACCCATTATAAATTACAAATCTCAAAATATCGAGTCATCATCTTCCTCACAACCAACCTCCTGCGAACAAAAAATATCCTCAATCAGTCTTTTATTCAAAACAATGAATTAAGGATTTGGGATAGTCAAACAAGTCAATAGGTCTAATAGACCTATGCTCAAAGTTCGAATTGTGAGAATGTTTTTCCAAGACTGGGGCAACACATACAAATCATATCTCAATTTGGTTCTACATGATAAAATTGTAAGCCAAATTATTTGAATTTTTGTTTTAATTTCGAAATTTGAAACGTATATTTTTTTTTTCGTGTATGTATTTAGATATTTTTGTAAATGTTTAGCGAAATATATTTTCGATTTTTTTTAAATTATATTCTCAGATTTGATTTGGTTTATTTATTCCACATATTGTAAAACTTTTATTGAATATTGCATCTTATAGTCCCCAAATAAATATATCACGTGCCTCGCACAGGTCACGCACTATATATATATTTTGTATATTTTTCTTTATTCATTTATATAATTATAAGGCTGGATAAATGACCTTAAAATTGTGCACCCCGTGCATCGCACGGGCTCTGTACTAGTCCAAGCCAAATGACAAACGATGAAATTTGGTCATATGATTTCGAAGTGCGAGTCTGCCACTTAAACGCCAAACTCAAGGGAAACTATACATATATATATATATATATATATATATATATATATAATTGCTAGCATATAAATTTAGTAAAACCTATTTAATAAAACCTCTAAAATTTTTCCCTCCATTTTCGGTTACAAAATTTATCATTAATATTTTTTTACTTCTCACATTAATACATCCTATTAAGTGTAATCATGTATTTTTTCAATTATATAATAGTTATTGCTAATACCAACTAATAATAATTCACAATAAATATAAATTACCTAATTATAAACAATTGTTTTAAGTTATTTATATTAACATCAATATTATCTTATTCTTTTGTATCTCATGAAAGAATTTATTTAAAAATAATTAGTAAATTGTTTTAATAGCATAGTCAAACAACTTTAAAATCTTATAAACAATTGTTTCTTAATAATAATAATAATAATAATAATAATAATAATAATAATAATAATAATAATAATAATATATAATGATAATAAACAATTGTTCATAATAATAAAATCGTTAATTTATTTTTTTCTAATGACCAAATTTTTGAAAATGTAATATGTTCATTATCTAGAATTTTAATATTAAATTTTCAAATATTACTTAAAATAAAATATTTTATGTGTATCTATGCATGTGCCCATGATATGTACTAGTTATATATTGATTTTGAGATTTTTAAAACTTTTGGCGAATCTAGTTTTAAATATTTGAAAAATTCAAAAGTCAGCATAAGTTGATTTATTGAAGGAATTAATGAATATTCATTACAACTAACATCAAATAATTGACAGATAAATAATTGAGAGACAGTGATGGAGGAGCAGAAATCCTCTCATCAATCTCTCATTTTCTAGCTTTTTAATCTGCAAAAATGGCGATACTGCATCGATATTAAGGGAATTCGTATTCCATTTTGATGCGTACGTATTGGGTGCAAATCAAATCTTGAGCGAGAAACCAATATAGTTTGGGGAAAGCTTTTCGTTCATCTGTTTGATATTTTTTTTCTGTCGAGAAGAATGGAGAACGAGGGCGTGGTGAATGGCGGAGTAGGGAATAGGGCAAAATCAGGGAAGTTTCCGTTGACGGCGTGGGAGGTCACGGTGGCGAGCGGCGTCGTGTTGGGGTTTCTGTTTGGGTTGGTAGGGCTGTACCTGACGATGCCGGCATCTGATTACAGCTTCCTCAAGCTTCCTCGTTCTCTGCAAGACCTTCAAATTCTCAGGTCTGCTTTATGTTTGAATCGATGCTGCTCTTGAGCAATCTTGTTGTGATTATGTCATCTTTCTTTTCTCTGGATGTTGTTTGTTCAGAAACAGGACTTTGGGTCCTGGAATTTTGTGCTGCACTTGTAGGACTAAGCCGTTTTTAGCTCGAAACAGTATTCGGTTTAAAAGTTAAGGATGATGATGATGATGGCATTTGCTTTAGAGATGTTTTCAGCCTTTTTGGATATTGTACACTGGTAATTATGGACGACTCCATATGATGAGATAATATTATATGGCCTGTGGAAATTAGACAAATTATATATATCCCACATTTGCTACTTTGAATCATGAAAATGAGGAGAATGTGAGTTTATCTATTCTAGGGCGGAGAGTATTTCGAGAGAACATCAAAATAACACAAATGGCGTAAGAACCATAGAACCAGTTGTGATGTGTGTTAAATTATCCTTTGCCTGTGAGTCTTCGAGACTACAAAGTATAAACCTTCATTATTTGTGGAGAGCTTAAGGCGTTTCTAGGATGTTTTACGAAATCCTCGTTCATGATAGGCCTTGGACTAAATTTAGTTTATTCAGCCAGTGAAATGAAATCAAAAAGAAAATATATATGATTGGCTAGTTTAGTTAACTTGAAGGGATTACAGTGTGTTTGGAGATTCTTCTGGAAAATTACTAGGAACTATAATGCTTAGGTTCATGAAGGTCTTTTTGCAGCTAGGATTAAACTTCTGTATTTCGTTGTGATTGGCTTGTCCTGAACACGAAAAAGATCACTGATATAGAAGAACTTTTGAGTATGAAATCATAGGTAGATTTTTTAGCTGATATAAAATTTTGCAGTATCTGCACTTACATTAGTTTCAAAGAGATTAAGCATACATACATCCTGATAAACAAACATCGTCGGCGGAAATGTGTTATTAAGTTTCTTTGTCTTGGATCTTTTTAGCTCGTCCATGGTATATCTCCAAGATGCTATCCGTTATGTGCTTCTCAGAATCTTTTGACCTGATCTTGTTATAATTGTTAGAACCCCTTTTCTTGTCTTTTCATTTCTCTATGTCCTGTTTTTCAGAGGTCTTCTAATATTTTCCCTTTTGCTTCATTGTTCGAAGATTATACTACATTTGACACCAAGCTTCACTGATTTTGCTTGATTTTTTGTAGGGATAACCTGGAGAGCTATACAAGTGATTACACTGTACAAGTTCTGGTGGGATACTGTTTGGTGTACATTTTCATGCAGACTTTTATGATCCCAGGAACAGTTTTCATGTCCTTACTTGCTGGAGCCCTTTTCGGGATCTTTAAAGGTGTAGCTCTGGTTGTATTCACAGCAACAGCGGGTGCATCTTCTTGCTTCTTCTTATCCAAGTTAGTTGGTCGACCACTCGTCTTCTCTCTCTGGCCTGACAAGTTAGCTTTCTTTCAGTCCCAGGTGATTAATATCTCATGTAATGTCATATCTAATCTTCATTTAACTTTTCTCATCGGTGTATATGTTCTTTCTGCTTTTCCAGGTGGCTAAAAGACGTGAACGGCTATTGAATTACATGCTTTTCCTTAGGGTGACCCCAACTTTGCCAAATACATTTCTAAATGTTGCATCACCAATTGTAGACGTTCCTTACCATATTTTCTTCTTGGCCACCTTCATTGGGATCATTCCTGCTGCATACGTGACTGTTAGGGTATGTTTCTTCAATCGTATTCTTCTGAAATTAGCATATTCTCTAATTATTACATGTGGAAATGTTAAGTGCTGTGATTGGAATGTCTAACATTAGTAACTGAAAAATGGATATGGGGTAATAAACAGATTGTTTCAGGAAGAGCTATCTTGGAGTGTTCTTGTCATAATATAAGGACATTAGTAAATAAAAATTTTCGGTCTTGGAATTTTCTTAACCTGAAACACAATCTTGTTGCAGATAGCAAACGTTTTCTCCATTTCATGTTGGCTTGAAGTTAGAAAAGCAAAATATGTGATACATTCAGTAGCCAGTAAAAGCTTAAACGTTAATATGCCGAATGAGCTGAAGTTGCAAAATATATTGTTTCTTTTGCAGGCTGGAATAACGCTTGGCGAGTTGCAATCGGTTGGTGATCTATACGACTTCCAGTCCATAGCAACTCTGTTTCTCATAGGTGTCGTAACTGTTACTCCCACACTGATGGGGAAGGGGAAGAATACTAAATCGTAAATTTCTGCTGATATACTTACTCTTATCCCTTGTAAATTCTCCATCTCCATTCTTCATAATCCTTTCTTGGCCAGCATTCTGCAATTGCCGTAAAGATTAACATCCACCGATGCTTTCTGTGGAGAAGGTTTGGAAAGGTTCCGATCCTTTAGATGGAGACTTGTGATGAGAGTTCATCGAGCGTGAGCAGACTTCTCGAAAATTCATCCACTAGGCGTTCGGATGTAAATCGTTAGTTTGTTCTAGGGTCATTGCATCCAGAAACCTTATTATATTGTTCCAAATTGTTGGGTCTTAATATCTGCCTCATTCTCAAGTTGTTGGATCAAGTGGAATGTGAACATTCTGAAGGCAAAATAATCGACTTTCACAAATCATCGCTTGATCTCTGGCAAATGATGGCAATTGTTTTCATGCTGCAATCTCTGTAGACTGTAGGTATATTGAAATACAACTTAAAATACTGATAATAACTTCCTATAGGTAACTTGGATTAACATTTTAAAAATAGAATAAATTACAATAATTTCAAAGGTCATATTAGAGGCTGCAATTTTTTAGCCTCGACCAAAAATTGTAGGGTTAGGCTTCTTAAACTATCAGGTTCGAGCATGTAACAATTCAACATCATAAAATAAAATTTGTTCCTTTCTTTCCTCTTCTAAAATCCCAACCAAATAACATACAATTTCTACAAAACTTAACACATATCAGTTTCTGTTTACATTCAAGTGGCCGATTATCAGCCAAAGCGCGCTAAAACTAGAAGTACAAAACGGAAAAATACTATAAAATAGATTGACTAGCAAAACAAAAAGGGCATCCGGCATCTATTGATTCTTTTTTATCTTCAGACTGGAAGAATTGGAAGAAGAGAAACTGGAAGAAGACGAGCGTTGATCTTGGTAAGAAGCTCTAAGTATAAATAGAAACGTCTCGACCAGCATTGCACCAACCAATCCAAGAATGCCACCGGCAGCATTCTAAAAATCAAACAAGGCCAGTATCAATTTATCGATAAAATTACAGTGCAAATGGCAGGGAAGATAGATCCTTTTTTATCTAGAGCAATTACTAGTTTGTGAACATAAGTAAAAAAAATTGTAATTCCTATGCAAAAGTTACCATAGCAGGACTGCTGCCGAACAATGCCCTGAATGCTGCGTATCCAAGTAAGTATCCCGTGAACATTGTTACCACCACATGCAATCCTGTAAAAGGTGAAGAATTTTGGCTATCTCAATTCGTTATATGTGACAGATTATACAGCATGAGTACAACTTAGGCATTTTGAAAGTTTCAATTCTATTTGCTTGAGATTCACAGCTTCGACAGGAAAGATGGGGCTAACGAAATTGAGAACAACAGTGTGCAAAAGCAAATGTCGTACCAACTATTGCAATAACATAATGAGAAAAATGGACTGAAGAAGAATTTAAATATTGTGTAATGATAAATAATTATGTCGAAGAGGAACGAAATGAATAAACCAATTAAGTGGAGGAAAAAATAAGTAGAATGAAGAAGACTCGGACGCAACAAATAAATTAGAGGCACAGGTATTCAATTGTCTCTGACTTGCTTTGGGTAATAGTAAAATTAGAAAAATTTGAGGAGAAATATATGTTGTACAGAATAACTTTCGTGAAAATATAAATTCATTTTCGACAGGCAACCGAACCAAATTGGTTAACAGAGATAACTGGATATAAAAGCTCAAGTTGCTTATGGAAGCACTTTTGTTAGAGGTTCTCCGGCTAAGGTGACTAGTGCCACAATTATCTTGGGTGTATATGTAAACTGAAATAGAAACCGATAAGCTGGAGACGTACTTGCAGCTTTCTGATGTTTTGGCATCACTGGCAGTCGGACAATTTTGAGATGAAAACTGTGGGACTGTTTATTAAGAGGAAACTAATTGGGAGACTATCGACTTCCATATACTTTCTGTTTTTGCATCTGAGGCAATACAGATAAACTGGTGAGGTGCTCTAATTCCTTTTGAATGAGTTTCAGCAAAGATCTCCTTCTGAAGGTTATATATAATGAACTCAAGGGTGCATATTACCATAAACCTCACACATATTTAGTTAACCTCGTCAGCCCGTTACATGAAATGCCCATACCTTTACCATGTTAAGATGCCGATTTTAAAGTTTCCCCAAACACTCAGACATCTTACTCACGAGTCATAACAGCCCTAGACAATTAAACAATAAATAACACAAAGATCATTCCAAAATAAATCCCTAAAGGAAACCATTATTCCACAAAACACAATCTATCACAAAGAAACACACGAACCATGTTATAATCCTTCTGTTTTCCATAGTAACTCTTAACGCGTACAAAATCTGCAAATTGATACCTTTTTTTTTTTCAAAGAATAGAAATTCTTACTCCAAGAAATGACAGAAACATATTTCTTTTACAACTACCAATTGCCATGTACAAAAATAACACCATTGTTTATCACAAGAACTAAAATGCACAGTCTCAATCTGTTCTCTTAGATACAAAATACTTATCCTAAAATCCATTGTAAGATGCATCTGAACACAACATGAAACCGAAACAAACATAATGCAATAGCAACAGTGAAAGAAAAAAAAGGGAAAATTTACCAAAGCCCAATTGATCCTTGTAAGAAGAAAATGGCTCTTCCACAGTCTTTCTAGGAGTAATGTCCTTCACCAATTCTTCATAGGCCTTCTTCTCAGCTGCCTCCTGTAGCTTTCTCAATCTCACCTTCAACTCCTCACTCTAGCCAAAAAAAAAA